TGGCACCATAGGCATTTGCCACTGCACCCAGCTAAAAGTGACCTTGGATAACTTATCAGTGACCTCGGGTAAGATTTCCACTCTGGGTCTATGTGTCCTTATGTATTTATTTGTTGATATTATTGTAGTACTGGAATTGAACTCAGAGCCTCATGCATGGTGGTCAGTCACTCAACCACTGAGCCACATCCCCAACCCTTTTTGAGAGAGGGTCTCACTTAATTGCCCAAACTAGTCTAAAACTTGTGAGCCTCCTGTCTCAGACTCCCAAGTACCTGGGATTACAGGTGTGCACCACCACACCTTGGCAGATTTCCTTACTTTTTTTTGGTACCAGGGATTGTACCCAGGGGCACATAACCACTGAGCCACATCCTTAGCCCTTTTTATATTTTATTTCGAGACAGGGTCTCACTAAGTTATTTAGGGCATTGCTAAATTGCTGAAGATGGCTTTGGCTTTGAACTCACGGTCCTCCTGCCTCAGCCTCTTGAGTTGCTGGAATTACAGGCATGCACTATTGCACTGGGCAGGTTTCCTTACTCTTAAACTGGGCACAGTGACACACACCTCTAATCCCAGCAACTCAGGAGGCTAAGACAGAAGGATCACAACCTTGAGGCCAGCCTTAGCAATTTAACAAGACCTTGCCTCAAAATAAAAAATAAAAAGGACTTGGAATGTAGTTCAGTGGTAAAGCATCTGTGGGTTCAAGTCCCTCTACCACAAAAAAAGAAAAATCATTTAATAAATTAATGTTGAAACTGGTGATAGATACCCAGAGTCTTACTATATTGTTTACTTTCCCTAATAGTTTCCATAACAAAACATTTTTGAGGACCAGAATAGGACCTTTTTAAAGTAATAGAACCCTTTACCTAATGAAAATCTTACAGAAAGTTTTATATGTAGATAAAATAAAGGTGGATCTCTTCAGGTTAAAGAAAAGCCAGACCCCCATCCCTATTGCTCCCCACCTCATACTCAGTCTTTCCCTAGGCACAAAATTTAGGGAACACAGTTTAATGAAAATCATTGGACCAGACTAAAGATTATTCTGGCACTTTTGCCTTTCTCTAGCTATATTGGCTTTGCACTGGCCATTAGCCTACATATCCTGTCCCAGAAATAGTAAGCCTAGGCCATTAATCATCTCTGCAGTCTTTGGAGAATTTGTTTGAATGGTTGCAGGAACAGGGATTGCTGCTAGTGATGCATTTCAGTGTCTGTCTCTGCTGAGTGTTTATTAATAATCTTGTTAATCCCCACTCTAGTTCCCGGATCTAGCTAACGCCTGTCGGATGTCCTTGGGGGACATTTTAAATTCTCCCTGATTTCTTGGAGCCAGACATTTCCTTTCTGATACTTCCATTCATGAATATTTTACATTTATTCTCCCTGATTATATCTCCATGTGATAGACCTGGTGCATTGAGTTTCTCAGGGAATGTATACAGGAAGCCCATAGTAGTGGGCTTTGTGCTTGCCACTTAAATGTGGCCCTCTATCATGGACACTGACTGATTGAGGAGAAGCTAAATGCTGGGCTTTGTGTGGGACCTCTAAGCTTAGGCCTTTGCCATCTGACTCATGGCCCAAAGGAGCTGTCAGTTCTCTTCAGAATCAGATAACACCAAGAACTTCCCAGAAGGCATTGGGAGCCACACGTGGGTCACTTTGACCAAAGTTGCTCACTAGTTTCCAAGTCCTCACCCCAGGACCTTTCCTTCCTGTGCAGTTCACCTCCAGTGCTATTACTAACACCTCCAACCTGAAAGAAGATGCTAAGGAACTTATCTGCACTGGGAAGTAAAAATTAACCTCAGAGAAAGAACAGCAATACCTAACACTCTCATGTGATCAATGGGGTAGAGGATTAAGGAGGAGATGCATGGATTGAAGGCCACAAATTTAGGAGTCTCTAGGGTAAAAATGTCAATCCAAACTATAGGAGGCATCAGGATTTATTTAGGAGAGAGAAGGCTGAGGATATGACCCTGAAGAGGAGACAAAGAGCAATAGGAGCACAAAGAAATGGTGGTTAAAGAGGCAAGAGGTGATCCAAGAGAGCACAGTATGCTGAAAGCCAGGGAAGAAAGCCATTTCCCAATAGAGGAAGTATGGGTAGCATGTGACAAATACTACAGAAAATCTGGAGGAATGTGACCAAGGAACTTGGAAATATACCAGAACTTATATCCCACTAGCACACTTATAGGATGTACCCTTTGAAAAGGTCTCCCTCTGGCTGCTTTGGAGGTGACCCTTCTTGTGGCCCAAGGGGAATACCAGAGCCCAGCTGTTGGGTCTCCACCTCTCCTACAGCTAAGAAGACATTGTGGTTGCAGAAAGGCATGTGAGGGGTGCTGGGGCTATAGCTCAGTGGTGGAGCGTGTGCCTCCCATGTAAGAGGCACTGAGTTCGATCCTCAACACCACATAAAAATTAATAAGTAAATAAAATAAAGGTATTTTGTCCATCTACAACTAAATATATATATATATATGAAAGAAAGAAAGGCATGTGAGGGTCACTAGGGACCTGTTTCTCCAAGGCTGTAGGGGCAGGTGCTATCTCTAAGGAGCCTCCCAGGGAGGCTGCTGAGCCTGGGAGGATGAAGATTGGAAGGGCTCACAGCCTGGGAAGTTGCCTGAGATGCAGGCACTGTAGCACCCCACCTTTCAGAACAAAGCCCCCTGTCTACCTCCCCCTCAACCACGACTAAGGGATAAGAGTCAGAGCAGAGGAGGGAGGCCCAAGTTCTGCCCTCAGGAACTTGCAAACAACCTTGGCAACATAGTCCAACCAGGACCTTATGCTCTGAATGGCCTGAGTAACACAAACAAGGCCAGGATTTCCATCACAAACATTCTAGACTTTTCCTTTATCCCTAGTGACAAGCATGTGTTTTTGACTACTGCCTCATTTTTAAAGGAACAGAGCCACTATATGTCATATAACATTCTATTTTAGTTAGCTTTTTCATCACTGTGACCAAAAGAACTGACAAAGGAGAGAAAGTTTATTTGGGGTTCACAGTTTCAGAGGTCTCAGTCTGTCGATAGCTGGCTCCATTGTTCTGGGCCTAAGGTGAGGCAGAACATCATGGCAGGAGGGGCATGGCAGAGGAAAGCAGCTCAGGGAATTGTACCAGGAAACAGAGAAAAAGGTAGCTCCTCTCTCCAGGGACAAAATATATACCCCAAAGGCACACCCCCAATGATCCACCTCCTCTAGCCACACCCTGCCTGCCTATGGTTACCATCCAGTAATCCTTATCAGGGGATTAATGCACTGATTAAGTTAAGACTCTCAAAACCTAATCATTTCACCTCTGAATGTTCTTGCATTGACTTACACATGAGATTTTGGGGAATTCCTGATATCTAACCCATAACACTTTCCCTTACTGAGTCACTAGCAGCCACACAAATCCCTGAGCCTGATCTGGTGGAGCCAGTCTTAGAGCATTCTATCTTCTGTCTATTTTCTGCATCTTCAAAGGCAGAATAGGCAGCAGCCTTGGATCCCCTCTGCAGTCCTTATACCTTAGGCTTCCATTCTGTTGTCCCTTGTAAAAATGTAAAAATGTAAAAATGCGTGGGATGGTAGCATCCATCTCAAGAATTGGTCATCAGCTTCTCAGGGAAAATATGGATAACTCCAGTCCCTTCCAACTGGCTGAGGAAGGGGAGGCCAGGGTCCTGAATCTTGTAGCAAAGGATTGTATTTTGAAGGGGTGGCTAGGCTAGATAAGTACTCTGGTCAACCCAGGGCCTACCACAGGGGTGGAGGCTATGAGGATGGTGTCAAGGGAGATTGAGAAGGTTGCACATCCTGGACAACACACAAAATTGCATGCTCTCCTACCTTCCTTGTCATCTATAGCAGCAAGTGTTTTGCACTCTGGACAGCACAAAACAAACTATATACCTGCTAATTTGTCATTGTTTGTCTTCTTGCCTACGATGTACAGCCAACCTTTCAGATTCTCTCAGGAGACACTCCTTGGGACCCATCTGAGAACTGATTTGTTTGTTTGTTTGTTTGTTTGTTTGTTTGTTTGTTTTTGTCCAATTGCTTAAGGATTGTAATCTGGCTTGACTTGGCCAGTTAGTTCTCTAGATTCTGCAAAGGACCTTATTTAGCATTAAGAGAAATGGAAGAAGAAGGCCCACCTCAGGGAGAACCATCTCTGATGTTGATCCATACTTAAGTCCCCAGGAACTAGCAAGATCTTTCCTAACAAGTACACAAGAAGGCCTGAGTGAGGAGTAGGGCAACAAGTATGAAGGTTTGGAGAGGAGGTCCTGAGGGTTTAAGGAAATCGTATTGAGCTGGGCATGGTGGCACATACCTATAATCCCAGCAACTTGGGAGGCTGGGGCAGGAGAACTGCAAGTTAAAGGCCAGCCTCAGCAATTTATCAAGACACTGTCTCAGTGTAAAAAGTAAAAAGGGCTGAAGAAGTGATGCAGTGGTTAAGCACCCATGGGTTCAATCCCTGGGAACAAAAAAATAGCAGAATCATGGTGGGCTTTCTGGAGGAGCCTGGATCTCACAGAACTTTGGAGATATACATTAAATGGTGTTAGTGGGACCAAGATCCTTGGCTCTTCTGTCCAGGATTACATTTTTGTCCCATGGTAGGTGAGTCTGCCCCTCCGTCTCTTTTTTTTTTTTTTTTTTTTTAAACAACTGATATTTTATTTTTTCTTATATTTATTTATTTTTTTTAGTTCTCGGTGGACACAACATCTTTGTTTGTATGTGGTGCTGAGGATCGAACCCGGGCCGCACGCATGACAGGCGAGCGCGCTACCGCTTGAGCCACATCCCCAGCCCCATGCCCCTCCGTCTCTTAATGTTCAGCCTGCTGCCCAGGACAAACACTCCCAGAAGCCTGGAGGACAGTTGGAAAGGCTTGCTTCAGGGCCAAGAGCAGCCCCCTCTGTGCTCACTTGCTAACAACTCTCTGTCTCTCTGCTTTCTCCTCACAGGACCCAGCCGCCGCCTCCATCTCAGACGGAGACTGTGATGCCCGGGAGGGTGAGTCAGTAGCCATGAATTACAAACCATCCCCGCTCCAAGTGAAGCTGGGTGAGTGTGTCCTGGGGGTGAGGGAGATGTGGGACATGAACAAGGTCCTCTGGGCTGGGTCTACAGTGAGGTACTACAAATAAAGCAACTCAGGCTAGTGATTACAACATGCCAGCCAGCATAGTGGCTTGCATGTTGTAATCACTAGCCTGAGTTGCTTATCTCCTGCAAGGCTAAGAAGGCAGTTACAGTTCTCTACAGAATCCTGAAATTCCAGGAGGCATCTCTGAGGCCAAGAAGGCTCCAGGAGTTCTAGGAGATAGCCTCAGGGGTAAAAGCATGATACCACAGGGAGAGGACTTAGAAGTCCCATCAAACACTGGATTCAGGTAAGAGGAAGCTGACTTAGAGGTGGGCTGTCAGTTCTGTCCGAGGGATAGAAAAGAATGTGAGTTCCAAAGCCTAGCAGATGAGCCCTTCTCCCCAGTCCAACCTTATCCCACCTGGAGGTCTCAGGACTTTATTGATTCCCATCTCGAGAAACAGTCCCTTATTTCCTTAGTAACCTAAATATCTCCACCTTTCCAGATATCTCATCACCTTTCCCTTGAAGGTTTATTTCATGTCCACTCAATGTTAGATTACTATACAATGACTCCTTTGAAGTCATCTGGCTCCCCACCACCACCCACAGCTCCTGCAGGTGCAGTTCATGCCTCACCCTATGCTAACTACTGGCCCTTCTCCCTTTAGGGACCAAAGTTTCACTGACCTCAGACTGATGTAGGTAATAGACTTTTACTAATTACAGCACAGTACACACAGAGAAGAGCTTGCAAATATAAGTCATCACTATCCTTCAAATTCCTCTGCCATCCCAGCCATCCTCCCAGCCATCTTTCTCCTCAGATTCCAACTTCTCACCAATAGTGGGCCATTCCTCAGTCCTAAGAGCCCCTTCCCATCCCTTCACAAACCTTCTTCCTCACATCTGCCAAGACTCCTTTATTTTATTTTTCAGAAATAAATTTATTATTTTTTCTGTGCTGGAGATTAAAGCCAGAGTTTCATGTGTACTAGGCAAACACTCTACCACTAAGCCACACCCCAGCCCCAGAGTTCTGTTCTTTTAATTTACATTTTTGTTTTGTTTTGTCTTTCTTTTACTTTGTTTTTCTCCTTCCAGACCACATCCAGGGAGCCCCTTGAGCTAATTTCCTGAACAGGAGAGCATTTTTCTCAGTGGAATTATTCATCTTCCTAGGACATAATACTAAAATTGCAGCCATTTTTGTTTGTTATTGTTTAATTTGTTGTATTTTAATGAGAATAAGTTCTCCTCTACTCTCACCCATCAGTTTCTCTTCTCCAGAGGTAATCATTCTTCCCTCCCCCTCAAGAGGTAATCATTCTGAGGGTTTTTTTTTTTTTAAATTTGTATAGTTTTATTTTGTATTTTAACAGAAATGGTATCACATTGTACACACTTTCTGAAAGTTATTCTCCTCCCCTCCACATAAAAAAGTCTTCCCCTTTGAACATCAGTATATAGTAAAAATTTTATTATTTTAAATGATTGCATAATAGTCCATAGTTTGGTTTTTGCTAGTTTGTTGTTTGCATTTTTCCACTCTTTCCAACAATATTATCATTCTTTAAAATAACGTTTTGTTTTCTCTCTGTTACATTACCACTAAAGCTTCTCATGAAAATTCACAACTTTTGCCAGTTGCACTAAGGAAAATCACCACCAGGAACTATTAGGCAAATTGCACCCCCTAGAGGCATGGATGGTTATGGCAGATGCTGTCTGCTGAAAGAGGCTGGGGAAAAGCGAAAGGAGCCAGACATGCAGTGGTGAAAAAAAAAAAAAAAAGTCAGAGAATATAAAATGAGAAATTTAGAGACATGGAGGTTAGGGGATATTTTAAAGTGAATCACAGCCAGGCCTGGCAACTTGAAAGGCTAAGGCAGGAGGATTACAAGTTCAAGGCCAGCCTCAGTAACTTAGGAGGCCCTAAGCAACTTAGTACCCTGTCTCCAAATTTAAAAAAAAAAAAAAAAAAAAATTTTTTTAAAGGGCTAAGAATGTACTTGGTGGTAAAGCTCCCCTATGCCCATTCCCCAACATCATAAATAAAGTGAAGTAGCTATAAAGACCCATCCATTCTTACACTCTGGAGCATGCAGTTATTTTATGAGACAACTTCCCCTAGTGTCTTTTTCACTAAACAGGCAGTTTTCCTAAATCTAGACTTTACTTGAGATGAGTAGAAAAGAGTAGACAGGCTTTTCCAGGACCAGGCGGCTAGCTACTAATGGTAACATTTATCATATACCAAGCAGTGGGTCACCTGATGGCCAGCCCCATGAGCCTGGTAAGCTCTGAACCCTAAGAGAACTCAGAGACTGGTAGGAGTCAGGAGCATTGCTTAGGCAGTATAGCAAAATGGGCTCCCTTAGCCTCTACCCTGCCTGCCCTTTTCTGTTTCTTCCACTCTAAAACCTTCAGTGGCTCCCTTTTTCTTTCTGCATTAATTCCAAACTCTTCAATGTAACATTCAAGGCTTTCATGTTCTGAGTTTGTAAACAGAGGGAGTCTCTAGCTTCTTAGCACAAGACTTGACACATGATTAGTAACTCCAATGTTAGGAGTTTTTCAATAAGTGGCTCCTTTCCCAACCTTACCTCTCTCCCTCTTCACCCTTCTAGATCTATCCAGATGCATACTTAAGTTCTCTTCTAAATGCATTTTTGTATATGATTCCCTCCTTCCTAGAGTGCCCTTCTTTGTCCAACTCATAATGTCACCCACAGGCAGCCCTCCCTGATTGCTCCATCCTGTGATCATCTCTTTCTCTCCAGCTTTTCCTTGGCATCAAGCACACATTGACTACCCAATATGGGAGCTGTGGCTCCTTCAAGGCAAGGCTCAGCCTTCTCCTTTTGCCTCCTACTATCTACCTCAAGTTATGCAGGGACAAGTACCATCTCTACTGAGTAGCAGAAGCCTGGAGTTAGGATTCCTACCTCAGTTCGTAGAGGACCAAGGGGTTTCACAATGGAGGCAGGGCCCTGGCTGCCCCAAGTGGTAAAATAGGGTTACCTGGGGCAGGACACAGCTTCCTTCCCATATTCCCTTGCAGAGAAGCAGCGGGAGCTGGCCCGGAAGGGCTCTCTGAAGAATGGCAGCATGGGCAGCCCTGTCAACCAACAACCCAAGAAGAACAATGTCATGGCCCGGACGAGGTAGAGACCTCTCTACCCCAGCTGGACCCTGCCAGCCAGCACATATCTCTGCTGGTCCTGAGTCTCTTCCTCTTTCCTCTGTCCTAGGGTGGGGTCCAAGGCAGGGAGGGAGGGAGGGAAGAGGGAAGGGAGGGAGTGAATGAAACAAGGCTCAGCCCAGTCCCCTGCCAGGTTTGTGTTCCAGTCTCCATTCCAACTCCAAATTTTTCACCCAGGCTGGTCGTCCCCAATAAAGGCTACTCCTCGCTTGACCAGAGCCCAGATGAGAAGCCACTGGTAGCTCTAGACACGGACAGGTGTGTACACGGTCTGGGGACAGCCAGGCAAGCCATATGAACCTGTGTGAGCACATACAGGTCACACCTGCTATATTGCTAGAATTGATGTATTCCTCAATTAGGAGCTCTGCAAGGGTGAATTCCTCAGGGAATGTAATTTTTTAGAAGAAAGAGGGTGGGCAGAGAGAGAGGAAAGGAGGACCAGCACAGTGTTCTGCTATCCTGGAACAGCCCTGTTGTTGAATCTGGGAAGTAGGATGGATGCTTAATGCCCCACTCTTTGTAAGGAAAGAGCCCTACTCCTCAGAAAACATCTGGCTAGACCTAGAGTTTGGGAAAATCCAACAAGTGGGGTTGATTTGAGCCTAATGGGGGCAGGAGGTGGGGATAGGGATGCAGTGAAGGGAGTAGCAGTTCTGTTTGGAAGAAATAACTTATTTCTAAATAATTTATTTAGAAAGGTGGGGCTGGGGAATCTTCATTTTAAAACCTGAATTTACACAGCATGCATAGATTTTATTTAGAACTTGACATTTGGTGTCATGGGGCTGGGTGTTGTATTGACCAATGGAAGCAGGGGTGCAGGGAGTTTTCTATTTAATTTCCTGGAATCATTTCTTCTCTGCCCTCTCTTCTCCACGGCTAGCGATGATGACTTTGACATGTCCAGATACTCCTCATCTGGCTACTCCTCTGCTGAGGTGAGGCCCCACCCCTTGCCGCCCTAGACACACCTGAGCAGGACCACCTCTATCAAGCAGCCCAGGGTGAGGCCAAAGCCAAAGCACCTGGAGAAGAGGAATAGGCACAGCTGGGCAGAGCCCTGTGGGGACAGAGCTCCATGTGGAGCTGGGGCTAGATGGGAAAGCATATGAATCATTAGCTTCAACTGCAGGAAGCCTATGGTTAGGGGCCAGGGTTATTGGAGCAGGGCTCTTAAATAGAATGGAGTGTGAAATATATGGGACACCTTATAGAAGTAGACCTGAAATTGGGCAAAACCCTAACAGAAGAACAACTAGATGTGAGCAGTAGTCTTTGGAGTGGGTAGGGATCTGTAGAGATGTGTGGAAAATGTGCACTGAAGAAAGTGAGGCCAGAGTTGGGGTGGGGTCTATAAAGGGAAGTGCCTGGACTTTTGGAGAGGCCTGGGATGGGTTGGGTGGTTGCAGTGGAGTGACTGCCCTAGTGGGTGCAGGGCCTTCCCACCGACCAGAGCCTGACCTCCCTCCCCTTTGCCTACAGCAGATCAACCAAGATTTGAACATCCAGCTGCTGAAGGATGGCTATCGATTAGATGAGATCCCCGACGACGAAGACCTAGACCTCATCCCCCCCAAGTCCGTGAACCCCACCTGCATGTGCTGCCAGGCCACATCCTCCACCGCCTGCCACATTCAGTAGCGGGCGGGGCCGCTGCGGCTGCAAGGGGAGGCGCCAACACGGGCCAGGTTGGACCAGGCAGGGGCTGATCCCTCCCTAGCTCGTCCTCGTGCCCCTGGCCCTACACTCCTTACAGCCGCCAACCTCGTAACAGTCATTGCTTCCTCCTATGGTAGGACGTGTACCTCTGTGTGTTCATGGAGCCGGAGAAACCAAAACCGGGTCTCTCTCTACCCCAGGGGCTGAAGAGGGGTGGGGGTTTCTTGTTCAGTTGCTTAAGGGACCTCCCCCAGCACCCTGTTCCCCTCTCCAAAGCCACAGTCTGGAGGTGGGGAGACCTGGAAGGCAGGGAGGCCAGCAGTATGAGCTGGGAGAGGGATCACAAAGCCAGGGCTTGACCCCACCTCAGCAAAGCCATGAATCCCCCAGACCCAGACTGACCAGCAAACAGGTTGGAAGAAAGAAAGGCCTAAGGCAATGGGGGTGGGTCCCAGAACCTGGGAGCCCTCTCTATATGACTCCTGTCAGCCAGTGTACCTTGTTGTGTTTTCCCTTCTTCTCTAGATGGGAAGTCTGATAAAGTTGTCCAAGGAGATATTGTCCCCCTCTCATCAGATCACTGCCTTCTTTTGCCTCTTCCTCCCATTCTCCCCTTTCCTTTTTCTCCAGGCGTGGTATGACCTGTCCTCATGCCCCTAACCAATACATCTATCTCTCTGCCTTCCCTCTTCCCTTCACCAATAACACTGGTCTCAGGTTGGAAGCAGGGTAAGGCTGGCCTCCAGTCCCCATTCCCAACCCACCCCAGCCCAAGGTCTGAGAGTCTGGTTCCCAGTAAAACTCTTCAAGGAGCAAGCTTAGGAGGATATAGCAGCTGAGCAGCTGCATGTACATGGTAGGGAGCGCTTGGCAGAATGTGTGTGTGCACGCATCTCATGTAGGACCTGCCTCTCCAGGATTCTGTTCCTGTCATATATGTAGTGTCCACAGTGGGGAAGTGACTGATTTTTTTTACAATGTGGGAGCCTGCTCAGCCATGCAGTTGACTTGAGACTCTGGCCTGGGTATCAAAAGCCTGGGTTCTGACACTCTCTTCATGTACTGTCTTACAGCAAGCCACATGTTTTCTCTGGGCTTCATTTTCCCCAAATGAAAAATAAAAAGCAGCTGCAATTATTCTTAAGGTTCCTTCACACCTGAAGGAATTTTTTCATAGGAATTTCTGTGGAAGAGTATGAGGAGATTTCTGTGTGTCTTTGAGTGCACCCAGGGGGGCCTCCCTAAGTGTGTCTCTGCAGAAAGGGGAAGTATATGTGAATCTGTTTGGAAAGAAGTGTGTGTGTGTGTGTGTGTGTGTGTGTGAGAGAGAGAGAGAGAGAGAGAGAGAGAGAGAGAGAGAGAGAGAGATTGTGTATGTGCATGGAGGTGTTTATTGAGAGAGAGAGAGAGAGATTGTGTATGTGCATGGAGGTGTTTATTGAGAGAGAGAGAGAGAGAGAGATTGTGTATGTGCATGGAGGTGTTTATTTTGTAACTATTTGGGATGTCTGGGGATCAGAATGTGTATTGCTGCTTTTGCTGCTATTGCTGGGTTGGAGGCTGGGGGCAGGACAGCTGAGGATGAAGATCAAGAGAAAGGAGGTTGGGGCTGGGGATGTCGCTCAGGGGTAGAGTGCTTGCCTAGCAGGCATGAGGCCCTGGGTTTAATCCTCAGCTCTGCCAAAAAAGAAAAAAAAAAGGAGAGAGAATGACAGTGAGAGAGAGAGAAGGAGGGAGGGAGGGAGGGAGACAGAAAGAAAGAGAGAAAGAAAGAAAAAGGAGAGAAGGAGGTGAACAGGGCTCTCCCTTGGGCTGGGCAATATGAACCTGCTCCCATGCAAAGAAAAATGAAAGCACAGATGGCCTCAGACTGCTTGGACCTAGGCCCCACAAATTTCCCACAGGTTCAAGGAGTACTTTTCCCTGTGCTCTTGTGCTGACATATGACACCCCACACATGCTGGTGTATCCACTGTCATGGATACCACTCACATGCTGCCCTCTGGACAATAGTCCTGGGACGTGGGAACTGGAAGGGGCAGATGGTGAGAGGAAAGAGTGAGGCTGCTGGCTTAGGAAGGGTAGCATCTCTCTCTGCATCACACCCAGGAGCTGCCAGGTTCAAAGTGTTGGGGTGCAACTCTATGCTCTCCTCTCCTCCAATCTACCCTTATGTCCTCTAGTTATATAATGAGGAAATGCCAAAGGGAGGACAGAATAGGGATTTGTAAGGCCCACAAAGCCCACATTGGCCCCCATCTCAAGCTCTTCTCCCACCCTGATCAGCATCCCTGCTCCCTGTCATCTAGGATCCAGAGCCAGGCCTCCCACTACCACCATCCTGGGCTCCTTACTCACCTTTCTAGAACATGGGTACCTCCTCTTTTATAGACTGCTGCCTTTGCTGCTGACTTACTGTGTGACTCTGGCCCATTGTTCAATCTCTGTGGCCCTGAGGAAAGCTCCCTCCCCACAGGACATACTACTTTTCTGGCAGGCAAGGACTTCCAACTGAGGCAGTGTACATGTGGCAGGGAGAGATAGGAAGCTGGCAGCCAGCAGCTTCTACATCTAAGGAGAATGCATGGTTCCCTCCTTCCCTGTCTGGGAGGTTGAAGGGGAAGAACCAAGGCCTTAGCTTGCCCCTGCCTCCTGCCCCCTTGTAGATACTGCCTTAACACTCCCCCTACCCTTGGCTGTGGCTTTCACCCAGCCAGGTTTCTCCGCGCTCACTAATTTATTTCCAGGAAGGTGTGTGGAAGACATGAGCCGTGTATAATATTTTTTTTAACATTTCCATTGCAGTATTGACCATCATCCTTGGTTGTGTATCGTGTAACACAAATAATGATATTAAAAGCATCAAACAAGCCAGCCTCAGCTCCCTACCTGGGGTGTGGGCTAGGGGCAAGTGGGCTGGGAAGGGACAAGAACTGACCCTCTGGATGCACATGTCATTCTACCTCCACTTGTGGGTTCCTGGGAGTACCACTGACCTGCTGTGTGACCCTAGGTGAGTCACGAACCCTCAGAACCTCTATTTCTGTCCAACAAAAGAGACTGGCCTAAAAGGTCTCCAGGGGCTCTCTGAACTTTTGGAAATTATACTCTTTTGAGGGGCTCTAGGCAGGAAGGGGCTGGGAGTGGGGAGGAAATTAGACTCTCCCCAGGGAGGGGACTGGGTCAAGTGATATCATAATGGGCAGTGCCCATCCTGGAGAGAAGAGCAGAGTGGAGTAGGAGCAGGAAGGTTGTGTGGGAGGAAAGCTGAGAGATCCTCTATAGGAGGGGGTCACAGTAGCTAGGGGCACCTGTCAGACTGGAGGTGTGGGCTATCTAGTGGGAGGGGTGGTCACTGATGTCTACCAGGAGTCCTTGATAGGTAGAGTCCACCACAGCATCCCTAAGAACTCACCATGTTCCTCTTCTCCCGTAAGACCAAGACCCCCATCAGCACCTACAGTGACTCCTACAGGGCTCCCACCTCCATCAAGGAGGTCTATAAGGACCCACCTCTGTGGGCCTGGGAGGCCAACAAGTTTGTGACCCGGGTAAGTGGAGGTTTGGGGAGGAGTAGGCCCGAGTATATGGCCATGTGTGTCTGGATGACTGGCAAAATGTGGCTGTCACTATGTGTTTGTAATTATTTATAGCTTTGTGCATATGTGTCATTTATTCATTTGTCTAGGCATAAAATGTACAATGGTATGTAAAAAAAGTGTAAGATCTTACCTTCATGGATCTATACCAGGATAGGAGGTAGAAAGAGAGAGATAATAAGAGTTTTATAAATTGTCAGAAATGCTGTAAAGGAAATAAACAGGGTATGAAAATAGAAAGGAGTGGGTAGGTCATGGAAGACCTCTTTCTTTCCATTTTACAGTTCTGAGTGCTCTACCACTGAGTTACAGCCCTAGCCTACATCTCTTTCTTTCAAGGTAACATTGAGCTGAGTATGAAAAGATGAGAAAGAAATAGGCTTGTGAAGAGCTGAAAGAATAGAAGAACTGAAAGTTCTACCAGAGTGATCAGAAAGTATAAAGGCCAGTGGTTGCCTGTAGGATAGGCCAGAAAATGTCCTATAGGCATGTCTTCATGCACGTTTATCACCATCTCTTTGTGTCTGTCTGTGTTTGAAGATGAGCAGCCAAGTGGGTCTATGTAGCTTTCACCAAAGGGAGAAGAAATCTGGGAGTCTAACTGTAACTCTGACTAAGAGAACTGGCCATGTGTACCTTTCAACAAAACTTTGCTGAGTATTTTCTTGTGTAGGCTCCAGGGATACAAAAAAGGAAGGGCCAGCCCTTGCCTTTAAGGAGCTTTCAGCAAACAGGTAAGCAAAGTCAGGTTACTATATGTGGGCCATGTAGAGCAAGTGCTGACTGGAATTCCAGGAAGGGATGAGCACTCCCACGTCCTGGAGTCTGCTGAGTGACTCTTCCTACAGAAGAGTTTTGAGAAAAGGCAGCCTAAGGGCCCTACCTGGAACTGAAGCTGTTAGAGCAGAAGGAGAGAGATCATAGGCTGCAGACCAAAAAGGGCCCTTAGATTATGTTGAGGAACATGGACAAGAGGCTCCAGGTTCCTGAGTTTGAGAGTGTCATAGCTGAATTGTGATTTAAGCCACTGCAGACACAGTGTCACAGAATTAGACAGGTTGGGACTGAGGACATGAAGGCCAGTGAGAAATGAAAAGAAAGAAGAGCCAGGCATAGTGGGACATATCTATAACCTCAGCTACTCTAGAGGCTGAGGTGGGAGGATCACAGTTCAAATTTAGTAAAACTGTCTCAAAAAAATAATAAATAAAGGCTGGGTGGATATATCTCCCAGCACTTGCCTAGCACACACAAGGCCCTGGGTTTGATCCACAGTACTACAAACAAAAAGGAAGATAAAGGATGTGGGTGAAAGATAACAACAAAAAACTGCAACAGTTTAAAAAAAAAGTGATTTTTTTAATTGGAAAATTTTTAAATAATATATTTCATCTAACAACAAAATAAATATATGTTCAGGGCTGGGGTCGTAGCTCAGTAGTAGAGCGCTAGCCTAGCATGTGCGAGACCCTGGGTTCGATCCTCAGCATCACATAAAAATAAATAAATAAAATAAAAGGTATTATGTCCATCTACAACTAAAAAAATATTTTTTAAAAAATATTTATGCTCAATGCAGAAAATGGGAATAACTCAGAATCATAAGAAAAATGGTCCAGCCCCAAGTATGGTGGTGCACTCCGTAATCTCAGCAGCTCAGTAGGCTGTAGCAGAAAGATGAAAGTTCAAAGCCAGCCTCAGCAAACTTATTGAGGTCCTAAGCAACTGAACAAGACCCTGTCTCAAAAAAAAAAAAAAAAAAAAAATTAAAAAGGGCTGGGGATGTGGCTCAGGGATTGAGCTCCCCTGAGTTCAATCTCTGATCCATAATCCTACTGTCCAAAATAACCACTATTAATATGTTATTAAATGCCCTTTTAGGAGGTAATTTTTTTACAAAAATGGCATCATATTATACTAATATTTTAAATCTTGCATTTTTCAAATAGCCATATATCAGGTATATTTTCCTGTTTCAAAAATACTTTGCAGGGGCTGGGGCTGGAGCTCAGTAGTAGCGCACTTGCCTGACATGTGTGAGGCACTGGGTTTGATCCTCAGCACCACATATAAACAAATAAATAAAATTTAAAAAATTTAATTAAAAAAATACTTTGCAATGTAATTTTATTGATGACATAGAATTCTTTGTACAAATGTGCCATAATGTATTTGAGGAATCTTATCAGAAATTTAGATTATTTATAAAATATTGCCAGTATAATCAGTCTTCTACTTATATCTTTGTACACATCTTCAACTATTTCCTTAGGATAAATTCCTATATATGAAATTATTGGAAGAAAGGATATACACATTTTTTAAATTTTTGATATATGCCTCAAATTGCTAAAATAAGGGATGTAATAATTTATATTCCCTCAAGCAAAATATGAGAGTGCCTGCCTACATTTTCACTCTCCATAATAAGGAATTTTAAGAAGTAGATTGACAGATCTTAGTGATTACCTTGATATAAAGCTGGAGAGTTTAGGATGACTCCTGGGTTTTTTGGCTCTGGCAGCTAGAGGAAAGGTAGTGCTACCAAAATGTGGTTTGGAATAGCAGACTGGGGACTTGGAATTCATTTTGGGACACAAATACTTGAGATAGGTAGGTAATTAGATACATAGTACTTGCCTGAAGCAAAGGAAAGAGGCCTGGGCTACAGAGAGAGCTCAAAGTTTTCATCATATAAATGGTAGCTAAGTAATAGGAGTGAATGAGGTGCCCAAGAAGAGTGAGAAAATGGCCAAGGACAGAACTTTGGTGAATATCAGTATTCAAGAATCATAAAAGAAGACAGAGAGTTATAGCCATAAAGGAGGAAAAATCAAGGAGACACCAATAAACACTGAATTATTAGACAACGGTCAGTGTGAAATGCTGTTGACACAGAAAGGGATCTCTCAGAAATAGTAATTATTGGTAACCTGGCCAGACAGCTTTAGTTCAGTGAGAGAAGTGAATCAGATTACCATGGGAGTAAAAATGAAGGAAAGGCTTCTGTGTCTCTGACGTCCCCTCCTGCTTCAAAACAACTAAGGCTTGCATTAGAACTAATTCTTATTTTGTTTTGGACTCTTATGGGGGTGAATAGTAAATATACTAACAACAAAATAAATATATACTTGATGCAGAAAATGGACAGAGGACAAGCATTGCCCTGAGGGCAAATGCCAATATTGGCATTATAAGCTGGAGTTTTAAACGTTAAAATAGCAGAGAGGTGGAGAAACTAAATCTGTTAATTTCCAACTGAAAAAGAAGGTTAATATCTCTTGCTCCTTGCCACTACACACACACACACACACACACACAAGTAATCTATATCTTCTGTGGTAAAAAAACATCCTCAATGTAGGTTTCCAGGCATCCTTCAGAGTAAGGCCAGACACAAGCTCACAATAAAAAATATAGGAAAACAAACAGCTGGTATAGCTCAGTGATAGAGTGTTTGCCTAATGTGCACAAGGCCCTAGGCTCAATCCCTGTACCACAAGGAAAAGAGAAATCCACCATATTACAGAATCAGCAGTAACAACAAATGGCAGACCTAACTACCAAAGTTTTCAGATAATGAAATTAACAAAGAATACAAAATATGTTTCATTTTTGAAGTAAAAATAAGAAAGCAACAAGGAAACATTCTTAAAATTGAGCAAATAAATGTACATATGCGTAGAAATTTTAGAACTGAAAAATATATTAGTAAAACCCAAAACTTAGTGGATAGGTTAGAGATGAGATTAAACATCCCTGAAGAGTTTCAGTGAAATGAAAGATAGAATGAATGAAATTTCCCAGAACGCAGTACAGAAAGGCAAAGAGATGGAAAATATGAACGAAACATTAAGCAATATGAAAGAAAAAATGAGAAGGTCTCGGGGGTTAAAAAAAAAAGATGGTGAAATGAGATGGATATCACTACCCTAGGTACATGTATGAAGAAGACACAAATGGTATGAATATACTTTGTATACAAGCATAGATATGAAAAATTGTGTTCTATATACATAATATGAATTGTAATGCATTCTGCTATCATATATAACAAATTAGAATAAAAAATTTTAAAAAATGAGAAGGTCCCACACTCATCTAATCAGAGTCCCAGAAAGGAAGAGGAGAGGGGGAAAAAAAAAAGAATAAGCATTATCTAACAAGAAATAGGCTTAGGATTTTCCAGAGCTAATGAAAGGAACAAATCCCAGAAAAGAGATTCCACAGTCAGATGCCTTGCAGTGAAACTATAGAACACCAGCTTAAAATCAA